GTTGCTTTCCAAAATGAGTGAATTTGTGCATGTGCCCTTTCAGAGTAAGCTTTTCCCCTATGTCTGATAGCTTTTCTGTTGGTATTCCTCATTGTAGTTAATAGCCAGCAAAGCCAGATCTTATGTCACTCTTCTTGGTTGTGCTGAGTCCAAAAGATGCTTATAGCAGTAATTCTCCCCTGCTCAAGTCCCCCACTCCTCCAGGAAAAGCTGCGTACCGTAGGATTGCTCCCCACCAGCCATGAAGCACCACAGCTTGTGAAGGTGGCTTTTTTTCTCTCCAGAAATGAATTTCTGCCTCTTCTACCTCAGTCAGGACTGTCCCTTATTGCAGTGGTTCTTTTTATCCAGTTTTCAGTTCTCTCTCAGGAGTAATTGTTCCAAGAGTAGTTGTAAATTTGTTGTGTCCATGGGAGGAGGTGAGTTCAGAGTCTGCCTACGCCGCCATCTTGACACCCCCCCCCGAAAGAACTCTTAAAAGTCAACAATAAGAAAACCAACAACCCAATAAAAAATGAGCAAAAGATCTGAACAGATACCTCACCAAAGAAGATATACAATTGGCAAATAAGCCTATGAAATGATGCTCCATATCTTATGTCATTAGGACATTGCAAGTTAAACCAACAAGGAGCTACTACCACACACCTGTTAGAAGGGTAAAAATCCAATTCACAGACAACACCAAGTGTTGCTGAGGATGCAGAGCAACAGGAACATTCATACTTTGTTGGTGTGAATGCAGTATGGTACAGCCATTTTGGAAGACGGTTTGGCAGTTTCTTACAAAACTAAACATACATTTACCACGTGACTCAGCAAGCACACTCCTTGGTATTTACCCAAATGAGTTGAAAACTTATGTCTACACAAGAACCTGCACATGAGTGTTTACCACAACTTTATTCATAATTGCCAAAACTTGGAAGCAACCAAGATGTCCTTCAGTAGGTGAATGCGTAAATAAACTGTGGTACATCCAGATAAGAAATATTGCTCAGCACTAAAAAGAAAGGTGCTATCAAGCCATGAGAAGACATAAGGTGACCTAAGTGCATACTACTAAGTGAAAAAGGCCAATCTGAAAAGGCTACATAATGTATGATTAGATTCCAATTATCTGACATTCTGGAAAGGCAAAACTGTGGAGACAGTGAAAAGATCAGTGGTTCCCAGGGTTTAGTGAGGAGGGAGGGATGAGTAGGCAAAGCAGGGATGAATTTTACGGCATACTGTAACTGTGTATATATGTCACTATACATTTGTCATAACCCATGGAATGTACTACACCAAGAGTGAGCCCTAATGTAGACTATGGACTTTAGGTGATAACGACATGTCAATGTAGGTTCATCAGTTATAAAAAAAGGACCAATCTGGTGGGGATGATGATAGTGGGGAAGGCTGTGCATGTGTAAGGGCTGGGGGATACGGGAACTCCACCTCCTGATCACCTTTGTTGTGGATCTAAAACTGTTCTAAAAAATAAAGTCTATTTTCTGAAAAGCAAACGGCCATAAATTTAAATTGGCCATAAATTTTTAAAAATTAATTGCCCATAGTTTTTGACTCTCAATTTTATTCCATTGATCCATATGTTTATCCTTATGTCAGTAACACCCTGTCTTGATTACTGTAGCTTTGTAGTCAATTTAGAAATCAGAACATGTAAGTCCTTCAACTTTGTTCTTTGTCAAGATTGTTTTGACTACTCTGGGTCCCTTCCATCTCCATATAAATTTTAGAATCAACTTCATAATTTCTGCAAAATAGGTAATTGGGATTTTGATAGGGATTGCACTGAATCTACAGACAAATTTGGGGAATATTTTCATCTTGACAACATTAAGTTTTCCAATCCATGAACGTGGGATATCTTTCCATTTATTTAGATCTTCTTTAACTTTTTTCAATGTTTAGTAGTTTTCAATGCACAGGTCTTGTATTTCTTTTGTTAAATTCTTTCTAAGTGTGTTCATACACAAATTTATTCTTTTTGATACTATGTAAGCAGAACTGTTTTAATTTCATTTCTGGATAGTTCATTGCTAGTGTATAGAAATACAGTTGATTTTTGTATGTTGATCTTGTATCCTGCACCTTCGCTGAACTTGCTTATTAGCTCTAATGTTTCCTGTGTGGATTTCTCATGATTTTCTATACATAAGATCATGTCATCTGTAGCTAGAGAGTTTTACTTCTTCCTTCCCAATCTGGATTCCTCTTATTTCATGTTCTCCCCTAATCGCCATGGCCAGAACCTCCAGTAAAATATTGAGTACAAGTAGTGAGAGAGGACATCCTGATGTTGTTCCTGATCAAAGGGAAAGCTTTCAGTCTCTCACCATTGAGTATAGTAGTCAACGGTTTATCTTAGATGTTCTTTATCAGTTTGAGGGTGGTCCCTTCTATTCCAGGTTTGTTGACTGTTTTTTTCTGTGTCTGTTGAGATGATCATGCAGTTTTGTCCTTCATTCTATTAGTATGGCATATTAAATTTATTGATTTTCATATGTTAAAGCAATCTTGCATTCTTGGGATATATTCTGCTTGGTCCAATTTATATGTTGCTGGATTCGGTTTGCTAGTATTCAGTTGAGCAATTCTGCATCTATATTCATAAAAGATATTGGTGTGTAGTTTTCTTTTCTTGTGATGTCTTTGTTGGGTTTAGTGTTAGGCCAATCCTGGCTTTGTAGGATGAGGTGGGAAGTGTTCTCTTTTCTTCTTCTTGTACTTTTTGGTGCTTTCTCTTCACTGCATCTTCCTGGTGTTGCTCTGTGTAACTGTCTTGCTTACTGTGGTTCAGCACTTGGCCCAGCCACATCCCTGGGAGTTTACAGTTCACTACGTCATCCACGCTTGGCCACGACTATCTATGGGATGTTGGTGCCTGTGAAAGTGGGTGTAGTGAGAGCCCCTCTCTGGGTAGATAAGAAGTCAGTGCTCTGAAACCCTGCACACCAGTTCTCAGGTGGTCATGGGTAAGGCTTTGGGGGAGCTCCTGTTACAAAATTGCCCACACCTATTGGTTGGAAATGCATTTTTCTGAAGGCATTTCAGGACAGACACATCTGCTCAGTTATGTTTAGGCCACAAGGAGCAAGGTATGGGAGATGTCATCCCTGCAGGAAGTGGGAGCCCATGTGAGAAGTTCCTCAAGATAACATCAGCCAAATACCAGCAGGGAGCAATGGGGCTGGCTAAGGCAGAGTGTTCTAAATGGCACCATCTTGTCTGGGAGTCCACCTTCCTGTCACCAGCCCACTGAGGCAGACAGCCTGCAGGTGTCCCTAAAATCCTATTCCACAAATCACATATAAACCTGAAAACATGGAGAGCGTTCTGAGGGAAGAGAATATCTGTTTTGGTTTTGCTTTGCTTGGATGGATTATCATCATTTTGATGTATACAAATCACACCCTGTGACACCAACCTTTCCACTTTCAAAGAAGTGGGAGGAACAGAAGAACAATGACTCCTCAGTCCCAGGAATAAATAAGGCTGCGGGTGGTGGGTTGTGATGGTCATGTGATGAGACACATGATGTGTTTCCCCAAGATGTGGGGACTGGCATGGAGTAGATGCTCAGTCCACGACACCTCTCACAGATATCCACAAGTGAGGAGCTGCTGTTAGGGTCCCCAGGCTTTATAGGTGCTCCTGGGCTAGCAGGGGCTGCCATTGGTGTCTGAGGGGCACTAGGGTGCCCCAAGCTGGAGGGCTGAAGGTCATCCCCAGGACTCTGCTTCCCTCCTTTCTGGACACTGTCTGTAGCTGGAAGCTCAGAACAGCCAGCATGAGTTCTGCCAATTCACAGAACACTCCAAAGCTGGGCACTCCCTTGTCAGGGGATGAGGGTGGCTTACTGCCATCCCATTGTGCCAGGAAGTCAGGGACTGCCCAGGGCCTCTCAGCCAAATTCATACTCTCATCTTACCAGAGTCTCTCCTGATGCCTGCAGCCCCCACACCTCCTGGTGTTGAGGGGGCTGGATGGTGCCCAGCTGGTGAAGTATGTGTGTTGGGATGAGGGACCAAGAAGGGTGTCTGCAGCAGTGGAAAGTGGGTGGGCTCTATACCGCCCCCCTGACCTGGACCTTAACCTTCACGAGCTTCCCATGGCCACCTCAGTGACCTGGGCTAGTCACTTACCTGGTGGCCTGAGCTTCCTCATTGTGAACTGGGCACCATAATAGGGTTTCCCTAGAACCCAGTGAGCTCTGGTTTTGACCGTGTGAGCATGGGTAGGTGGGTTGAGTGCCTGTGGGACCTTGAGGTGGTGCCTAATTCTGGATATGTCCCCAGGGGTGGGGGTGGGCACAGAGTGAGGGCCACAGTGGTGACAGAAGGTGAGTCCCAGCAACTCCTCCAGGGACAGACTCAAGCCAGAGAGGAGGTGAAGACTCGGGTACTGGGGACAGGGGAACAGCAGAAGTAAATGTGTCAGTTGCATGGTGGTAGCATGTCGGGGTGCAGGGCCTTGGCTTCAGACACAGGGCCCAGGGTGCTCCCCACTCCTGGCAGAGTGCACTGATACACTAGCCTGGTGGGGCGGGGAGGAGAGTGATGAATGCTACTGTCTGAGGCCAGGTGGCCACCTCTGCCAGAACAGTCCTGTTCCTGGTCCTGGAGGCCTGGTCCAGCTCCTAGGAAGCCTGGGTTTTTCACCTCACTCTGGGATCCCAGACCACTGGGGAGCCCAGACCACTGGGGAGCCCTAGCTGGGCTCCCCAGGTCTGCCCCCTCTGCACCATTATAGCCCCTCCTAAACACGCTCAGGTCCGGCTCCACCAGGCTCTCTCCCTTGCCTGGGAGGCTGGCTAAAGGGATCTCCATACTTCCTGTGATCTCCTGCCCACCCTGCTCATGGGCCCCAACCCCTGCTTCATCCAGCCCCCCAGCTGGCCAGTGGTTCCAGGCTTGGGTCCCCAGGGCAGGATCACAGCAAGGACTGAGGGCTGGTCAGCACCTGGCTATCATTTCCTCTGGCCCTTGTAGGTGCTAGCAGCTGGCTTGGTGCTCCTCTCAGCTGCCCACCATGGCCTGGGGGCTTCCCAGCACTGCCAGCCTGGCGCACTTCTGCCAGAAGCTGAACCGGCTGAAGACAGTGGAGGAGTCCACCAGAGAGATGTTGCTGCGGCGCCACCTGACCACACTGGACCTGACCCTGCTGGGTGTGGGTGGCATGGTGGGCTTTGGCCTCTATGTGCTCACGGGCACCGTGGCCAAAGAGATGGCTGGCCCTGCTGTGCTCATGTCCTTCAGTGTGGCTGCCGTGGCCTCCCTGCTGGCAGCCCTATGCTATGCAGAGCTCGGGGCAAATGTGCCCAGCAAGGGCTCTGCCTACCTGTTCACCTACATGTCCATGGGTGAGCTGTGGGCCTTCCTCGTTGGCTGGAACGTGCTCCTCTGGTGTCTCATTGGTGGCGCCGCTGTGGCCTGCGCCTGGAGTGGCTACCTGGACACCATCTTCAGCTACCGAATCCGCAGCTTCACTGTGGCCCATGTGGGCACCTGGCAGGTGCCCTTCCTCGCCCAGTACCCAGACTTCTTGGCTGCTGGCATCACACTTTTGACCTCTGCATCCATCTCCTACAGAGCCCGCATCTCTTCCTGGCTCAACCGCACCTTCTCTGCCATCAGCCTGGTCATCATCCTCTTCATCACCATCCTGGGGTGTGTCCTGGCCCGCCTGGAAAACTGGAGCTCTGAGGAAGGGGGCTTTGCACCTTTCGGCTTCTCTGGAATCATGGCTGGTGCTGCCACCTGCTTCTACGGCTTTGTGGGCTTTAGTGTCATTATTACCTCCAGCGAGGAGGCCCAGAACCCAAAGCAAGCTGTGCCTATGGCCATTGTCATCTCGGTTGGCCTGGTGGCCGGTGCCTACATCCTCGTCTCCACTGTGCTCACCCTCATGGTGCCCTGGCACAGCCTGGACCCTGACTCGGCGCTTGCTGATGTCTTCTACCAGCGGGGCTATAGCTGGGCGGGCGTCATTGTGGTGGCTGGCTCCATCTGTGGTAAGGGGCCCTTCCGGGCAAGGTGGGAGGAGACAGGGTGGTGGGGCCGTGCCCTAAGCCTCCCAGGGAACACATCTCCATCTGGTCCTGTGTTCCCAGTCGCTTCATCAGCCCAGGAAGGTGCTAATGATTAGACTCTCCACCCAGGCTTCTTGGGAGGGACCTACTCACTGCCCCTCCCAGTTGTACATAGAATGTCAGCCCTGGGCACGTGCTTCCAGGTACTTTTCTGGCGGAAGGACTCAGCCCTCAACAGATTCTCCAGTGGGTCTGTCACCTAAACTGGGATGTTCCATGCCTGGGTGGAAGGGGGGAACAATCCAGCACCCCACATACAGTCAGGCTCACTCTGAGGGCCCAGACAAACACATGCCCGTGTTCCCAAGGGTCCATCCCTACCCTGGCCCCCAGTAGTGGCCCCTGGTGGGCCTGTCCACCATGCTGACCAGTCTCCCACCCTCTGCCACAGCCATGACCAGTGTCCTGATCAGCAACCTACTTTACCTGCCACGCACCGTCTATGCCATGGCCGCCGACGGGCTCTTCTTCCAGGTGTTTGCCCACGTGCACCCCAGGACACAGGTGCCCATGGTGGGCATCCTGGTGTTCGGGGTCCTCATGGCTTTCCTGGCGCTGCTGCTGGACTTCAAGGCACTGGTCCAGGTCCTGTCCTTCGGTGCACTGCTGGCCTACACCTTCATGGCCACCAGCATTATCGTGCTACGCTTCCAAAAGGCCTCTCCATCCAGTTCCCTGGGCCCAGTCAGCCCTGTGGGCACAGAGCAGGTCTCAGCCCCTGAGCCTGGGCAGCTGCGACCAGCCCTGAGGCCCTACCTCAGCTTCCTGGGTGGGGGCAGGCCTGGAGCCGCCGTACCTTGGGCATACGGTGTCCTGGTGGCCTCGGCCATCACTCTGGACTGCGTGCTGGTCTTCGGGGACTCAGCCCTGCACCTCCCGCTCTGGGGCTACACCCTGCTGCTCCTGCTCAGCTCCGTCATGTTTCTGCTCAGTCTCCTCGTCCTGGGGGCCCACCAGCAACAGCGCCGGCAGGACACCTTCCAGGTACTTCCTCCAGCCAACACCCATCACTCTCAGCCCAGCCAGCTCCCCTCTCCCCTTCCTCCCCTGCTGTGGCAGGATGCAGCAGGGCTCCCAGGGTGGGAGGGGCCAGTACCCCATCCCCCTCTTTCTGCATGGCTAGTGGGCTCTTGTTGCTAGAATCTCCAGAGGTGGAGAAGCCTCTGTGGACTCCTGAGAAATCAGGCCCTGGGCCAGTAGACCTTCCCAGCCCTGCCCTTGCCCCTCAGGTTCCCCTGGTGCCCCTGACTCCAGCCCTGAGCATCCTCCTCAACATCTTCCTCATGCTGCAGCTGAGCCACCTCGCCTGGCTGGGCTTTTCCATCTGGTTGCTCATCGGTGAGTGGGGGCCAGGCTGGGAACCGGGTGGGCTGCAGGAGGAGGGCCAGCAGGGAAGCAGGGCTGGGACCTGCCCCTCAGGCTTGTGCCACCCTTGCAGGACTCATGGTGTATTTTGGCTACAGCATCCAGCACAGCAAGGAGAACCAGCGGGAGCGGCTGGGGTTGACTGCTCCACACAGCAGGCTGGAAGAGAATGTGCAGTCCCTGCAGCCCCCCAGCCAGGCACTGGCCCAGGAGCCCAGCCACACGGAGTAGCCCGCCAGTCCATGAGGACTGCTGTGGGTCTTCCCACTGCCCCTACTTCCTCAGGAGGCTGGAGGGGTTGGCAGCACATACTATCCAGGGCCGGTCAGGTTTGCAGGCCTGCCCATGACGGGGGGTGCCTCAGGACCTTAGTCCATGGGCTAAGTTTTAAGTGCTTGGGAGTGGGCTGTGGCCAGTGCTGGTGTGGTGGACTCTGCCCAGCGCCTTCCAGTTTATGACCAACTCCAGCTACCTGGGCAGGTGGAGTAGGGCGGGCAAGGAAGAGGCCTGCAGCCCCAGGGATCCACAATAATAGCTGCTGGGCCAGCTACGTGGTTTGTTGTCGTGTCCATGTGGCATTCTTTGTGGCACTGAGACTTCACCTGCCCCCGGGAACTGGGCGATTTTCCTCCATCCACAGCAAAGATACCGAGGTTCTGTTGGGAGTTTCAGCCAGGACAGAGAGAACCCTTAGTGAGGGACATGGCCAGGCCTGGGTCCTAGGGTCATCCCTTCAGTCCAGTGCCCTCTGCTCAGCTCAGAGGGGAGCTACATGCCAGGTACAAAGGGGTCCCTGACAGGGTGGGGTCAGGCTCCCTCCCAGGCTCCCCACGTGTCCTCTTGGGGGAGGATCCAGAGAGCAGAGCCTGGACCCCAAGGAGACCGCCTAGAAAGGACAGTGGAGTTCCAGGGTTCCCTCGGTTTCCCAGGGCTCCCAGAGAGCAGGGCATCTGCCTGAGGCCTGCCCTGGAGTGTAGACGCCCACCTGCCCAGGTACAGCATCTCTCAGGCACAGGCCCACGTGGCCCACACGGCTCCCCTGGGGGTGCACACCCACGTGCAGACTGAGGCACAGCTGGTTCCAAGCTCAGGGCTGCCCGCAGCTCCCCAGCTGCCTCTCCCCCTGCCCGCCCCTCAGGGCTTTGTGATAAAGGCTTGGGATGGGACACACATGTGCAGGTGGGGGCACAAGCGCCTGGGCCTGCCCCAGGTACCTTCCACACCCCTGGTGGCAGTGGGGCCCCATCCTTGGGGGTCCACAGGCCCACCCTGCACCCCAACTGGTCTCCACAAGGCCATGCTATGTCTACCATAGACACCCCCACCTCCCCGTTCCTGCCTGTAAGGACCACACAGGAAGCTGCTGGCTCTGGTAGCTTTACTCCTCCGCTCTCTGCAGCCTTGACCTCAGCTTTCTCTGGGCCCCAAGGACAACCAGGTACCCGTGACCCCGCTCCAATAAGCAGGCTCAGGGCCGTGTTCTCTCACCCTGGCCCTTCTGAACCCGCCTCCCACGGACACGGCTCTGGGGACAGAGAGGAGGAGGGACCCCAAGGCTTTGTTGAGGCTCCAGGTGCCAGATGATTCCAGATGCTGCCCAGCCTGAGCCCCAGCCCTGGCCCTCCCCAACCTGGCCCACGTCGCTCCACCAGCAAGCTGCCAGCATGCCCCTGGTCACCAGGGACCCTAGAAAATGCAGCCCCTGGGGTAGGTACCTCCAAGTACCTGCCCCGGCCCTGGGACCAAGAGAGGGCTTGGTGCTGGCGGGTCCCATCCCTCCCCTCCTGACAGTAGGCCCGGGGGCATGGGGAAATTCTCCAGCAGGCAGGACTCAGGCCACTGGGAGGATTCCAGAGCCAGAACAAGAACAGCCTGCTAGTGGCTTCCATGTCCTGTTAGGGACATTCTTTCTAGCCCTGGGGCTCCACCTGGGGTCTTCGTCGGAGCGAGGTCCTTGTGCAGTTGTCTCAGGCTGGGGTGGCCAGCTGCCCAGACATGTTCTCAGGTGTGACCTTGGGCAGCAGTGACACATGTGTCCAGATATACAGCCTCTCCACCCCATGGCTCCCAAGAAGACTGGTGAACTGGCTGCTGGGTGGTGGGCTGGGGTCACCAAGGAAACATACAGAAGGTCTGAAAGGACCCCATGCCCACCAACTCAGCCCCTCCACCCTCCGCCATCCCAGCCCTCCACAGCCTGTGGGCTGCCACGGGGAAAGGGCCCAAGATGTGCCTGTGCCCTTGCCTGGGGTCCAAGGGGTTCCAGTTGTCTGCTCACCTCACTCCTCACTCCATGGATGAGGCCCAGAGCTGGGAGGGGAGCTGCCCTAGGAACCCAGCCCCAGAGCAGCTGCGTCAATTCCTGGTCAGGCTTCATTCTCCCTTGCCTTGGGCTCTGGCTGCCCAGACCCCCATGCAGGGCTGCTGAGAGGGGAGGGGCTCTACTGTGAGGGGAGTGCTGGCAGGGGGAGGGGGGCTGGGAGCCAGAGAGGGCCTGAGTAGACCTCAGCCAGAGTGGGGAGAGCTGGTGAGGGGGGAGCTGCTGGGAACACTGGAGACAGACTGGGAGAACGTTCTCCAGACCCAGCAGGAGCCCCACTGGACCAGCGCCCTGTGTCGTCTCCCCCTGCAGGTCTCTGTACAAAACTGGCTTCTGTGGTCCCAGGTAGCACCCTGCCGAGGCTGGAGTCGGGGGAGGACAGTCTGCTGGGAGCTGAAGTGTTGAGTTCTCCCCCTGCCCACTGCCCTAGTCCTGCTAGGTCTTCATCTATGAGTCCCTAAAGAGGGGCACCCAGCCTTCCCAGCCCCCAACTCTCAACCAGCAGAGAAAGGCTCCAGGCCTCAGGAATGGGCCGGCGAGTGCCCAGCTCCCAGCAGCACAGTGGGAGCAGGTGCTGGGCCCCCTCTAAGGCACCTGGGCAGCCAGGTGTGGGGGTGGGGAAGCCGGCTCTGTCTGCTCAGGGTTGGCAGTGCCCTTTGGGGCCTTTGCCTGCAGATGAGGACAGCAGGTTGGGACTCCAGCCACCATCCTCCAAAGGGTGGCCCAGGGTCCAGGCTGGCCCGCAGCTCCCCTCCTCAGACTTGGTCCTCCAGGGGATATGGGCTTCCCCATCCACGTCCAACAGCAGCAGGTCACAGGAGAAGGTGAGCTGGGAGAGGCAGGGCAGACCCACATCCTGGCCCCGACTCTGCCATAACGCCGCCTCCCCAGCCCTCACCCCGAGACTCATGTCAGCACAGGGGCTCAGGTGCACTCGGGGGGCACATGCTTGCCGGCAGCCAGAGGGAGCCCCATTGGCCAGACTCACCACACCCAGCTAAGCCGCTCTGGTGCCCAGAGTGAGGGTTGTGGGGATGAGCCCGAACTTCCCTGCCTGAGACACACCTGGGCTGAGCCTCTCTGGCTGTGGCTGTCGCCCCCTTCCACCCCCCACGCCTGCCCGCCCCCACCCACCCCAGGCTGGCCCGTCTGTCCAGTGACCAGGATGTCTAAGCAGATCCCGTAGAGCTTCAGCAGGCTCCGGGCCTCCACGCCTAAGGCCTCCCACAAGTGAGCGGCTGTCCTGGGGGCAGGAGGGAGTCTAGTGGCCTCCTCTGCCCACTCTTGGGCTGGGCTGCCCGTCACAGGCCTCAGTTTACTCATCCATTGACTCCATCCACCCCCAGCCAGAGTCCTAGGTCTCAGCCCTGTTCTGTGGAGGGAGACCCTGGAGGCAGGGTGGAGTGGAGGAGGAGCTGGGGGGGAGGGGTCCCAGCTGCAGCAGGGGTGTGGGGGACACATGGGGTGGAGGCCAAAGGGCTCAGCAGGGAGACTGGGTAGAGCCTGTGCTGTGGGACCTGGAGCTGTAGCACCCCCTCCTGCCCTGGGGACCCCTGCACACACAGCAGAGCATTCAGAGGGATGGGCCAGGCTGGGGTCTGTCCCGGCCGCCATAGGAGGACAGGTGGAGGGGCACCTGGCTGAGGAGAGCAGGCGGGCAGTGGAGCCACACCTGAAGTCTTAGGTCCTCTCCTGCAGCTAGAAGGAGTCGTAGGGACGCCGTCAGAGCCCCTGGCGTCCAGGTCACAATCCCAGCGGATGTGGATGCCCAGAGCCCTGCCCTGCACACAGCGCATAACTGCTCCACCAGCGCACGGGCAGGGACCCTCTCCCCGAGCCCTCCTGGAACCCTGTTCCTCACGGAGCCACCAGCAACACCAGGTCCTCACAGACCCCTCCAGCTGTGGCCACGAGGTCCCTGATGCAGAACACGGGGCAGTGGGGCTGAAGAAGCCTGGGTCACAGTCACAGCGCTTGAAATAGGTCACATCCCAGGTCTCCAAGGCATTGGACCTGAGAAGGGGTGGGGCTGGGTGGTTGGGCCAGGCAAGGGACAAGGAGGATCTGGTGCAGCCAGGACCCTCCACGCTGACCTGGAGAAGTGGAACTTGCTGAAGGTGACAGTGTTTTTGATGAACAGTGTGGAGTTCTCAGCATGGGCCAGCAGGGACTTCCCACAGGTGGGGGAGGTGAGGGGCAGGCTCTGCTGGTCCTGGGACCTGCCCTGGGTGTCGGTGACACTCACACAGGCACAGTGTCGCTCTCGATGGGGCACCAGCCCCAGATCTCACAGGTCCTGTGGGTCCCCTGAACTCCACACACTGGCCTGTTTTTATGCCTTGAAAACAAGGCAAACTCCAGGCCCTCAAGTCTCCACAGGGCCTGGGGAGGGAGTGGGCAGGGGGCTGTTGGCAGAAAGAAGACACACAGAGGCACCACCGGGCCTGCATGAGGGAGCTACCCAGGGTCCCGGGATGGCCCCCTGAACCCCCTCCCAGTGGAGGCGCTGGAAGACAGGCCCACAGTTACCGTGGCTGTGCATCCCCGTCTCCCCTCAGGACAGTCCTCGTCAGCC